CTATGGCACGGGGCAAAGAGACTGCAAAACAGAAGTCTTGCGTGTTTAACAGTTATGCAAGATACTAGTGTCCACTTGAATTGTTGAAAATAAAAACAAATATTGTAACAAATAATTGTTACAACAAATAATAGTTATAAATAACTGTAATATATATAATAAGTGAATTTCCTTTGTAATTATTTAAGTATACAATGGCATTCATTAAACCCAACCCGATTTGCAACCACCTCCACTATCCATTTCCATACTTCTTAAGAAGTAACCCTTACCTTTGCTACCACCAGTCTCTAGTAACCACTAAGACATTACTGTACATTTGCCTATAATCATACAATGTTTGGTTTGGGGAGTCTGGTTTATTTCACTCAACATATTGTTTTTATGATTTTTTCATAGCATAGCATGTTTCAAAACATCTTTTCTCTATGGCTGAATAACATCCTATTATATATTATTTTCCTTATCCATCCATTCAGACTTGTTTTCTTCCTTTTGGCTACTGGATAAAACTCAAGTTTACACTGGTATTACTGTTCACTTTTAACAAGACCTTATTATCTCCTTGTCTTCATAACAGAACTTTCTATTTCAGGAAATAATTAACCAGGAAGGAAAAAACAGTTGCAACTAACTACATTGTTCATTTCAGAAACAAAATACCATTTAAATAATTTGACTGTTTGGCTTTTCAATAAGTAGCATCAAATGACTATTTACTTTAAGAGTCTTTAAACATTGCCACCTCCATCCCCTGACTTGCTTGCTGTATTCACCAATTTTAAACTGCTGTTTGATAGCCTAGTAGGGACTTACACTGCTAACCCAAAGGCCATAAATTTCTGGTAGTTTGAATTTACCAGTGGCCAAGGGAAAAATGCAATCTCCTCCCATTAGATTTACAGCCTGGTGAAACCATCTGCTGGAGGTTGGTTCCAACTCCACAGCAAGAAATGAAAACATGAATCTTACTAAAACCAAACACTAAAGTCTCATATACATTTTTACCTTCTCCTCTCTATCTTTGTCCTTGTGAACCATAAACTCAGCTTTGTCATAAAAACCCCCAACTCTGCTGAAAAGCAAGATAGTAACTCAATGACTACAGTGTATCTGACTCATGCCATCAACAATTTGCATTATGCAGATGACACACCCTGCTTGCTGAAACTGAGGACCTGAAGCACATGCTGCAGAGGGTCAAGGACTACAGCCTTCAATATGGATTGAGGCTCAATGTCAAGAAGACAAAGATTCTCACCACTGGGCTGATTAGCAACATCATAATAGGTGGCAAAGATATTGAGATTGTTACGTTTTAGTCTGCCTGGTTCTATAATCAACACTCTTGGTACCAGCAGCCAGGAAATTAAAAGATGAATTGTACTGGGAAAGTCAGATGTCAGGGACATCACCAGAGTACTGAAGAGTAATGATGTCAGTCTGAAGACTAAAGTGCACCTGATCCAGGCTATGGTATTTGCAATTATGTGCCATACATCAGAAAGTTAGAAAATTACTAGGGATGACAGAAGAATTGATGCCTTTGAGCTGTGGTGCTGGAGAAGAGTAATGAATATACCATGGACTACCAGAAGAACAGGCTCATCTAAGAAAAGGTGAAACAAACAAGGCTATTCCTTGGAGGCAAAGACTCTGAAGCTTTGACATATACTTTGGGTATGTTGCAAGGAGGGACCAGTCCTTGGAGAGTGACATTATGCTTGAGAGGGTAGAAGGACATCACAGGAGGGGAAAACCATTGTTGAGATGGACTGACTGCAGTAATGGGGATAGGTGTGTCGGAGACAATAAGGTTGGCTCAGGAGAGAGCAATGTTTAGAACTGCTGTACATAGGGTCGCTATGAGTCACAAGTGACTCGACGGCACAAAACAACATGCAAAAATGCCTGGAAAATGAATAAGGCTATGCAAATGAATATGGAAGATAAAAGAATTGATGCATTGTAATTGTCATGCTGGCAAAAAAAAAATTCTGAATATACCATCAACTACCAGAAAAATGCAAATGATATGACCTTTACCTGCCGAAAGTGATTATCTATAAGGTTTACTGCAGAAGGTCACAGCCTTCAGTATGGATTATAACTCAACATTAAGAAAACAAAATCTTTACTAATGGGCCAAAAGGCAACATGATGACAGATGGCAAGAACATGAAGTAGCTGATGATTTCCTCTGGCTAGGATCCACAAAAATACCCATGGCAACAGCAGTCAAGAAATAAAAAAAACTTTAGCCTTGGAAGTCTGCAATCAGAGACCTCCCCCCAAGATACTGAGGAACAGCAATATCAGTTTGAGGACTAAGGTGCACCTGACCCCAGCCATAGTCTTTTCAATTCCTTCCTATGCATCAGAAAGCTGGAGTCTGACTAAGGATGACAGTAGAAGAATCAATGCCTTTGAGTTATGGTGTTGGAGAAAAGTGCTGAATTTCCATGGACTGTCAAACAAATATGTCTTGGAGAAAATGCAGCCAAGGAAGCCTTTGAGGAAAGGGTGAAACTCCTTATCACGTACTTTTGGCATGCATTTAAAGGACCCCAGCCCTTGGAAAATGACATCATGTTTGGAAAGGTGGAGGGTAAACTAAAGAGAAGAAGATTCTCAATAAGATGTGACTGCAGCAATGGGTTCAAGTATAGCAGAGATGGTGGGAGAGGGTAGGGTTCAGGCCTGCAGTTCCCAGGGTCACTATGAGCTATGGTCGACTCGATGGTACCTAACAATAACCAAAAAATTATTACATTTGTCTTTGAATGATTACAGCTAGAATGTTTTTTAGAAAAAAGGATGGTGGGACTTCATCTCACTTTGCATGCTATAGGTAGGACCAATCACTAGATTAGGAGATTATGGTTGGTATAGTTGGGAATCAGAGATAAAAAGGAAGATCTTCAATGACATGGATTGGCACAGTGACTACAACAATGCATTAACTGCACAAACAGGATGTAATCAGGCCAGCAATGTTTTGTTCTATTGTACGTAGGGTTATTATGAGTCAAAAATGAAGCGACAACACCTGAAAGAAGAATGGTTTTACTATGATTTAGAAATAATTTACATTTCTAAGATTTACTTAAATTTATTTCCTTTTTCCATTCCCGTATCTTTTCACAGTTCTCAAATTACTTAACTAGCTATTGTTGCTAGGTGCCATCAAGAGAGCACGAATCATAGTGACCTATGAACAACAGATCTGAACCCTGTCCTCTCCTGTGCCATTTGCATCATCTCTGACACTCCTGACACATGTCTAGGGTAAGGAATTGTGATGCCAACCCAAAGATATGTGGTTTAAATCTGTTGGGCAATCTCCTCCCGTGTCACCAACTGCCTCTCGCTGGAGGGTGAACGCTAAGTCAATTCTGACCCAATGGTGTTTAACAACAACTAGCTATTAGTGGAAGATAAAAACTATCAACATAAAATATGTTATTTCCCTTGTGCTCTCATATTTGCAACACTTTTTTCCTTATCCCAGAACTATCCCTCTAGGACCCATTACACTTTTTCTTGACTCGAAAACAATTACTTCAAGAAATAACTTCTATAATGTAATATTCTCAAAATCCTTAAAAGAACTCAACATATCCTCAATACTTACTATCCAAGTGAAATAACAGTCAGTGAAGCTACCCAGATGAGTCAAATCGTCATCAATGACTTTTACACTGGCAGTCTATGAAAACATATAAAACACACACACACACACACTCAGAATTTAGTAAAAAACAAAAATCTCAATTTTTCCTTCTCATTCTCTGAGGTATAATTCAGGGACTTAACACAAAACTGAATGGAAAAAAATGTTTTTATTAGTAACAACATAAAACTGACACGGTTATCATATTAGACCTGAACCAGGATAAATAATGCAGTTATAAAACTTACATTTCTCACATCCATTAGAGTGGAAAATAGTCTATCTTATTAGAGTTTTTTCTAATCTTATGGACTAATTTCTTTAAAAAGCCACTTTTTAAAATTATTAGTAAATACGCAATATTCTAAAACTGTACTAAGTAGTAGTGAAAAGACAACCATAGACTCTTTAATGATAGCAATGGGCAGGATTAGGAATGTTTTGTTAACTGTTAAGGACCAGGTCTCTGTTTCTAGGTGAGCTGTTATGTCAGTGCACCCTTTTCATTAATAAGGCAATTGTTGACTGTGGCTGCCACAAAAAATAGCACGTTTCTTCTTAAATATCAGATACTCAATTAAGACTTGAATTAAGTTTTCCTCCTCAGTTTTGTTTTTCTGGAGTAGCAAATACCTTTGCCTTCTGTAAACAGTGAGACAAATACTGAGAAATCTATAATCGTCTAACACACAATCAAACAGGGGTAATGAATTATCATTAGGAACAAGCCCTTGGAATACTTTAAGTTGGGTTTTTTAACAATTTTTTATTTTATTTTATTTTATTATTTTTTGTGCATGTACCGTCAAATCAGATCTGACAGGTACAGGAGGAGACTGTCCCTCCTTCTCCGGCAGAGCATCTGGTGGATTCGAACAGTGTACCTTTGGGATTGCAGTACAACTTCTTGCCACTAGGCCACCAGAGCTCTCCATGAATTCTTGAAGTTTTTAAAATAGCAAGGTTTTGGGATAATTTCCCAAAACTAGCCTTTTCCATTTTGGTACATGACTTGATAAACATAACACATTTGAACTATATTTTAGTAATCTATTCTTCTATTGACTACACTTCGCCCTCAGTTAAGTGTTAAGAGTTGTGACTTCAAATAATTACTACATATAATACATTTTTAAATAAGTTTCCATTTCACTGAACTGATGAGTATTTTCCTTCCACTTTATGTACCTGTGGAAGGTAACTGGAACATCCATATATATACATACACTGCACATGTATGTATATGTACTTTTTAAATATCTTTCTACAGATTAACTCTAGATTACAGGGATAACTCTGAGGAGCAGTTAGCCTCCCTCTGACTCCTCTAGGTTGATGCAGGCAGGTAGAGTTCACTGAAGGATGTGATGAGGCTGTAATAGGTCTTCTCATCGTCCGTCAATCCCGCATTGCCAGGTCTCACCACCACAGCTACATGCACGTCTGCTTCCTCAGCAGCACTGGCCTCTGTGGAAATCAGAGTATGTGTCAGACGCTTACAGATGTCATTCTGAAGTCTGATGTTTGCTTCTAGGTAATCAGGGGGAGAGGAGAATGGATGAAAAAAGTTTGCTCTGATTTGGTAACTGTAAGAAAATGAACACACAAGGCTGACTATATTATTCTCTGTCAAATATATTTAAGTTTTTCTATAATAAACGTTCCCCTCCCTTTTCTTGTTGTGTACAATCGAATTGTATCCAACTGGCATAGGAGGAGATTGCCCCTCCTTCTCCAGCAGAGTATCTGGTGGATTCAAACCATGCACTTTTGGAATTGCAGTGCAGCTTCTTTGCCACTAGGCCACCAGAGCTCTCCATAATAAACTTAAAAACAAAACAAAACATAAATATACCTGACCAAGTGGAATGATAATACTAGACTTCTGAACATGTGAAGGGGAAAGGACAGAGCTTTATCCTGTCTCTTTCTTACATGTTCCAACTGAGCTGTTTCCTAAGGGTAATCTCTGAGCAATGTTAGTAAGTAGATGCTGAATAAAAGGAATCCAGCAGTCAAACAACCAGAAACAGAGCCTGCTCTCATCTCCAAGCTCTCACCTCATGTCCCCTGCCCAGGCTGCCGGTCTCTCTTATTTGGCAAATGTCTACTCTTCCAAATTCAGCTCAAACAGTATGTCTTCCAAACTATTATCATCTGCATTACAGGATATAGTGTGCTTTTTTAATACCCACAGTCACTTCTAGCATTACACAAATAGCTTAAAAAAAAAGGAAAATAGCTTAAATGAAAAGAAAAAGACCTATAATTATATATATATTATGATGTAAACAAGTATTTGTTCCCATTACAAAGAAAGGAGATCCAACAAAATGTGGAAATTCTCAAACAATAACATCAATATCACACACAAGCAAAATACTGCTGAAGACCAATAAAAATGTCTAGAACAGCACACAGAAAAGGAACTAATGGAAATTACAGCAGGATTTAGAAGAGGCCTTGGCAGCAGGGATATCACTGCTGATGCCAGATGGATCCTGGCTGAAAGTAAAGAATACCAGAGGTATATCTATTTATATTTTATTGACTATGCAAAACATTTGACTCTGTGGATCATAACAAAATATAGCTACCACTGAGAAAAATGGGAATCCCAGAGCACTTAATTGTGCTCATGCAAAATCTATTCCTAAACCAAGAGGTTGTTGGGCAAACAGAGCAAAGAAATGGTTTAAAATTAAGAAAGGAGTGTGTCAGGATTGTATTCTCTCTCCATACCTATTCAGTCTGTGTACTGAACAAATTATTCGAGAAGGTGGATTCTATAAAGAAAAGTGTGGCATCAGGATCAGAGGGAGACTCATCAATAACGTGCATTATGCAGATGGCACAACCTTACTTGCTGAAAGTAAAGAAGACTTGAAGCATTTGTCAAAGATCAAAAAATGCCGCTTAATGTGGATTGCATCTCAAAGTCAAGAAAACAAAGATTCTTATCACTGAACGGATAGGCAACATCATGATGTTGTTGTGGTGTAGGTGCTGTCGAGTAGGGCATATAGCGACCCTCTGAACAGAAGATCTGAACCCTGTTCTATCCTTATACTTCCTGATACACAGAGTCCATTTACAGCAGTTACCAGGTCAATCCACTTGGTTGAGGGTCTTCCTCTCCTTCACAGACCCTCCACCCTTCCCAGCATCATATCCTTTTCCAAGGAATAGCACCCCCTGGCAACATGCCCAAAGTATGTGAGGCAAAGCCTCATCATTCTTGCCTCCAAAAAGCATTCCTGCTGCACCCTCTCCAAGACCTATCTGCTTGTTCTCTCGGTAGTCCATGGGATGCATTAGTGCTCATCTCCAACACCACAGCTCAAAGGCGCAAATTCTTTTTCTGTCATCCTTATTCACTGCCCAGCTCTTGAATGCATAGCTAGTAATCAGAAAGGCCTGAATCAGATGCACATTCATCTTCAAACTAACGTCACTACTCCTCAATAATTTGGAAAGGTCCCTAGATTGCAGACTTTCCCAGTGCATTGTGGATCCAAGCAAGATGAAGCTGCTGACAGTTTCAATCACCCCACTCTCATGACACTGCCTATTAGTCCAGTGTTAAGAATCTTTGTTTTCCTGACATTAAGATGCAATCCATACTGAAGAATGCATTCCTTGATCTTCTGCAACAAGTGCTTCAAGCCCTCCTCACTTTCAGCAAAAAAGTTGTGTAATCTGCATAATGCAGATTATTAATGGGTCTCCCTCCAATTCTGATGCGAGACTCCTCCTCATAGAGTCCAGCTTCTCAGGTAATTTGCTCAGCAAACTGAATAGGTATGGAGAGACAATACAACCTTGGTGCATTCTTTTCCCAGTTCTAAACCATGCAGTGCTCCCCTGCTCTGTTTGCACAACAGCCTCCTGATCCAGGTATAGGTTCTGCATGAGCACAATCAAGTTCTCTGGGATTCCCATTCTCCTCAATGTCATCCACAAACTTGCCGTGATCCACACAAATGCCTCTGCATAGCCAAGAAAGCACAAATAGACATTCTTCTGGTATTCCTTACTTTCAGCCATGATTCATCTGCCATCAGCAATGATATCCCTGGTGCCATGGCCTCTTCTAAATCCTGCTTCAACTTCTGGCAGTTCCATATCTATGTATTGTTCCAGCCATTTTAAAATTATTTTCAGCTGTATTTTACTTGCATGTGATATCAACGATATTGTTGGATAAATACCACATTCAGTTGGATCCCTCCCTCCCTTCCTTCCTTCTTTCTGTTTCTGACTTTGCTTACTATCAGCTTCGAGTAGGAAGCCTATAGTATAGGCACCAGGATCAGGTGGGCAGGCCTTAGCATTTAAAAGTCGGTTGGGTCTTGCCTGAGGGTGAGCCTTCCAGCTTGGTGCAGCTGGATCCTGGAGAGTACGTGTTTTTTTATTTACTTGAAAGCTGGGTTTAAACTGGGGTGTAAAAATAGCACGATAGATGGAGAAAAGATTGAAACTATAAACAATTTCATCTTATTTTGATCCACAATCAACACCTTTAGTACTAGCATGCAGGAAATCAAGAGACATACTGCACTGGAAAAGGAATGAGGAGATGTATTGCACCAAGCCAAAGATGGGTGATTTTAATCTGCAGCCCTCAGGCCTTGTTTTAATTGTTTTTACTCAAACATTCTTCTAAATGGTTAGCACTGGTCTGTCCATTGGCTGTACAAAGGTAAATCATGGCTGCTGTGATACTAAACACTGTGACAATGATGTGTCAAATGCTATAATGGTTACCCATGGTGGAGAGTGTTTGGTGGAGATTCCCGATTAAGACAAGCTTGGCAGCAGGAGTGGCATCCGCTTCCGAAATAGCTTGCTTCCGGAAACTCTATGAACATGGAGAAATGATGACAGTTCTACAAGTGTTCAGGTCTTTCGTTCATAGGGTTGCTATGAGTCGTCTACAACTTGACAGCACTTAACAACAACAACATTGCACTGGAAAAGTTTCCAGTCAGGGACCTCTCCATATTATTGAGGAGCAATGGTGTCAGTCTGAGGATTGAAGTATATCTGATTCAGGCCAGTCTTTCTGATCACTTCCTATGCATTTGAGAGCTGGACAATGAATAAGAATGACAGAAGAAGAATTGATGCCTTTGAGCTGTGGTGTTGGAAAAGAACATCAAACATTCCATGGATGGCCAAAAGAACAAACATGTCTTGGAGAAGGTGCAGCCAAAATGATGAGGCAAGAATGATGAGGTTTCACCTCACATACTTTGGGCATGTTGCTAGAAGGGGCTATGATAATAGAGAAGGATATGCTACTGGGAAGGGTGGAGGGTCGGTGAAGAAAACAACCCTCAATGAGGAGGACTGACACAGTGACTGCAGCACTGAGTTCTTGTATGCCGGGAAGTGTGAGGGCAGCAGAGTAAGGACAGAGTTCAGATCTGCTGTCACTATGAGTCGTACTCGACTTGGCAGCCCCAACAACAACATGATGGAAACACGCTGAACAGGTCATTTAAAAGGCTGGACTTTATGAAGAAGAATGTGGCATCAGGATTGGAAGAAGACTCATTAACAACCTGCATTATGCAGATGACACAACCTTGCTTGCTGGAACTGAGGAGGACTTGAAGCATTTGCTATAGAAGATCAAGGACTGCAGCCTTCAATATGGATTGCTTCTCAACATAAGGATACAAAGTCCTCCACTGGGGCAATAGGCAGCATCATGATGTTGTTGTTGTTATGGGCCATTGAGTCACCTGCGATCCACAGCAACCCAATGTACAGCAGCTCTGAAGCCTGCCCTGTCCTAAGCCAGTTTCACTGATTCCAACACACCTACTGTCATTATACCAGTTACTTTATCAATCCAACTCTCCAGGGTCTTCCGCTCCCGCACTGTCCCTCCACAGTTCTGAGCATGATGTTTTTCTCCAAGGCCATGTGTCCAATGAATGTTGAGCTGGAGCTTCAAAATCCTAACCTAGCCTCCAAGGAGAAACTTGGTTTCAACCTCTCCAAAACAGATCTGTTTGTTTTCTTGGTGTATGGTCAAGACTCTTCTCGAAGGCATCGATTCTGCTTCTGTCATCCTTAGTCATTGTCCAGCTCTGTGATGCATTGCAAGTATTGTGAAGACCATGGCCTGGACCAGGTGCACTTTAGTCTCTAGACTGACATCATTTATAGATGGAGAAAAGATTGAAGTTGTTAATAATTTCCATCTTGCTTAGATCTACAATCAACACCCTCAGCACAAGCATTCAAGAAATAAAAAGACGAACTGTATTGGGAAAATCTACTGTCGAGGACCACTCTAGAATGCTATAGAGCAACAATGTCACACTAGAGATCAAGGTGTGCCTGGACCCAGGACATGATATTCTCATCTCTTGCTATGCATCTGAGAGCTGCACAATGATTAAGTATGACAGAAGAACAATCAATGCCTTCAAGTTGTAGGGCTGGAGAAGAGTAGTGAACATGGACTGGCAAGAGAACAGGTCTGTCCTAAAAACGGTAAGACCAGATTGCTCCTTGGAGGCAAGGATGTTGAAACACTATCACCTACTACGGGCATGTTGTCAGGAGGGGCCAGTCCTTTGAAGAACGAAACTGTACTCAGAACGGTAGAGGAACAGTGTAGGAGAGGAAAACTGTGGATGAAATGGAATGACACAGAGCCTGTGGCAATAGGGTCAGGTGTGTCAGAAACAGTGAAGCTGCCTCAGGATAGGGCAGGGTTCAGAACTATTGTTCGCAGGGCTGCTATGAGTTGTTGTCGATCTAAGATGGTACATAACAACAACAATAATGATGGAAATGATTGGGGGGGAAGGGGAAGGCACTTAAGGCACTATGAAGAAACTCAAATTTTACAGCAGAGGTCAATGCTATTGATCCTGTTAAATGACACCAGGTCTAAACAGATGGATTCATAGCTGCCTCCCAAGTAGGTTTTCAGAGGCTATAAATTGTATGGGAGAAGAATGGCAGTCTTTCTCCATCAGAGCAGCTGATGGACTTGAACTGCCTGCCATTGAGTTACCAATGAAACTTCTTATCAGTAGGCTATCAGAGCTCATAATTAATAATAACCAACATGCTAGCTGATAGGCTGTCTACAGACCATTAATTGAACTAATATGTATTCAATCCAAGTATACTCAGGATAGACTGGCCACAGAGTGGACCCCTAGTTCTAAAACTGAAGGAACCTTCCTATTCTATATGTTAAGAAGAACAAGGCCTATTTCCTTTCAATAAGGTGCACAAAAAAGTTAAAGATCTTAAAGTGAACATTTCTCACATTAATTGGTAGCATATTAAACAGAAAGTAACTTTGTTATCCCATTAATAAAAGCTATTCAATGAGGAGAACACATTGGAGTTATAATCCCTAGTCCTGTAGGGTTTTATGTACAAAAATATAATAGACACTTCCAGTGTAAATTAAATTCATTAACATTTTATATGGCTTGCATACCTGTTCGTACTGTTGATGATCGTGGTGGTGCCATAGAGTTAGCTTTGACTCAGTCACCCTATAAACAACAGATCTGAACTCTGCCACCTTCTGTGCCATCCTTAACCACCATCCCTGATATGCTGGAGCCCACTGTTACAGGCAGTGTGTCAATCCAGCTTGTTGAGGGTCTTCTTCTCTTTTCCTGACCCCTCTTCTTTCCTCACATGATCTCTTTTTCCAAGGTCTGGTTAATAAGGCTTAATAATCTGTCAATGTCTGTCACTTTTGTGTATTCACATATAAATTTTCAGGGAGAGTTGTGAACACAAAGCTTTTCAAAACAGCTAGCAGCTGGATTTATGTAGCTACGAATTGGTAATATCTGTTGTTGTTGCTGTTATGTGCTGTCGAGTCGCTTGCGACTCATAGCGACCTAAACTCTGCTCTGTCCTGTGCCAATCGCACTGTCTCTGACACTCCCATCCCGATTATCCCAGTCATTGAATCAATCCACCTCCTAGAGAGCCTTCCCCTCCTGCGCTGTCCCTCCACCATCCCAACCATGATGTCCTTCTCCAAGGACCGGTCTCTCCTCACAACATGTCCAAAGTATGTTAGACAGAGCCTCAGAATCCTTGACTCTAAGGAGCCACCCGGTTTAACCCTTTCCAGGACAAATCTGTTTGTTTTCCTAGCAGTCCATGGTATTCTCAATACTCTTCTCCAGCACCACAGCTCATTGTCCAACTCTCTGATGC